CCCGGGGGGATGATTTCTTGCTTTCTGTCTCTCTGTCTCTCTCTGTCTTTCTAGTTAACGCACAAACCCTATAGCAAAAACCTCTCAAAGAAAAAAAATCATGACTTTGAAAAGGAATTATTTCATATGTCAATCCATTTTGCACTTCTAAAACAGAATTCCACAGACTGAGTAATTTATAAACAATAGAAGTTTATTCAGCTCGAGTTTCTGGTGTGGTGGGGGCAATCTGAGAGCATGGAAGTGGCATCTGTTCAGCATCTGGTAAAGGACTTTTTATTGAGACATAACATGATGGTAGGGCAAGAAAGCATGAGAAACAGAAAGAGAAAACTGGACCAAATTCCCTCCCATAATTAACCCATGTTCATGATAACCCACTCACTCCTGCGATAACAGCCTTAATCCATTGTACCTTCATGATCTAACCATCTTTTAAAGCCCAATGTCTTTATGCTATTACAATGGCAATTCTATTTAAGCATGAATTTTGGTGATGATATTCAATCATAGCTTTTATATTTTATATTATGGTCTTGGTTGTGAGCAAGTTAAAAGTTGAATACAACTAAATAGGCAGGGCTAGAGAAAGCCAAATTTTATTCTACTTCATTTTGCCTCCTTTAAGGTGGTGGTGTGGTTGAAGCTGTGGACTCCCACATGGTGCATCATGGTTTGAGTCCAAAACCTGGTGGCTTGCATTCTCATTTTCCTTCTCTCTTTCCTCCTGTGTCTCTCTCTCTGGTCAGATTAAAAAATAATAATAAATAAAACATCATATTACTATTTCTTTTAAAAAACTTTGAACCAGACCATCAAATGAGAGAGTACCTAATCTCTCCTCCCCAACCCATATCTGTTTCTATGAATGTATTAGAAAGTGATTTAATTAAACAGAATATACATGAAAGAACTTACTAATAAAGCTGACATTGCAATAGTTTAGGCACTACTTGAGAAACAAAAGCTATAAAATTTTTAAGATGTGCTAGAAGGGTCTGAAGAGAAATAGACTTATATCTTCAACTGGGATTCATATCATCATATTCCTGAATTTCTGATAATCATACCCATATCCTACCATGACATTATTCATTGGAATCCTCTTCTGGGTATAAACAGCATGCTTTGAAAATGCAATTTAAGGTTAACCATATGAAAAATGATCCTTTAAATGATTTTCCCTTAGGCTATAAATTGACTTAGAAGCCATTCTCTATACTCAAAACTTCAGGTTTAGACAAGCATATTTTTCAGGCTCTCCTCAGACATTTTGTTTCTTGTAGGGTCTAACCAAAGTCATTTTCTTTACATTCACGAATCAGTAATTCAGAGCATGGTTTTCTCAGCTTTCTGCTGCCACTGTCAGGTGGTTGTAGGATTCTGATTCTGTATTTCCACTTTATGATTATCTGATTTTGGTAAAGCAGCTTAAGTTTATAAAATGTAGTAAAATCTTGTAGGAATTAAGTGAAATAATGATTTTAAATTGCTCAGCAGAGTCTTGTACATGCTACTAATCCTGTTACTCCCTAATTCAAATCCTCCCATGGGTCCTCAGAACCTTCAAGATACTTGCCAATACCTTAACCCAGATCAAGGTAGGCCTTCATTTCAGCCCCTGTATAACCATCGCCCTTCCTCCTCTCCCATCATTTTACCATGTCTATCTTCTCACTGCAGTGAAGTGAATTATTTTCTTTTCAAATTTTATGCTGTTTTAGACCTCAGTGCTTTTACTGTTTTTTGACTTGTCCTTTTTCTTTTTTTTGGAGAGGTTTTTTCTATAGGGCTTGTGTGTTTGCCGGAAAGATAGAGACAGAGAGACAGAAAGCGAGAAATCACCCCCAAGAGGAGATGGCTATGCTGCAATCTGTTCTCCTCCATTCTCCTCTCAGGATCTTGGGCATGCATGCACATGTGCCCGGCGTGAGTAAGCCACTGGGTCTGGGACTCAAAGCGCGGTCGGCTACATGCGAGTCCAGCCACATAGCCATTAGGCCAACTGCTGGTCCCTACTTGTCCTTTCTCATGAATGAGACCATGTCTCTCACTCTCCAGATGCCTTTTCTAATCTATTGGGGCTAAATTAAGCCTCTTTTCTATTCTGTCATTGCACTAGTTGCATTGCTTTTTGACAGTATATGTCATCGAGCTTATATTTTTGTATTTATGATTTCATTTTCTTCCCGCAAATCTAGTATATAAATTATATGAGGGCAAATGTACTATTACTTGAATATTTGTCTCCTCCAAAATTAATGTTTAAATTTGATTGCCATTATAACAGTATTAAGAGGAGGACCATTAAGCAGTGATTAGGTCACGAGGGTTCTATACTCATGAATGAACTAATACCATCATCATGGAAGTGAGTCCATTATAAAAGGGTGAGTATGGTCCACTGTCTGTTTCTCTTCTGCCTTCTGTATGAAATGACACAGCAAGAAGGTCCTCACCAGATCCCTTAATCTTTTTTTTTTTTTTTTTTTGGAGAGGTTTTCGTTATAGGGCGTGTGCGCTCGCCAGAGAGACAGAGAGAGACATAGAGACAGAAAGCGAGAAATCACTCCCCAGGGGGGATGGTCAAGCCGCAATCCCTTCTCCTCCATTCTCCTCTCGGGATCTTGGGCATGCACGCACACGTGCCCGGCGTGAGTTTTAAGTCCCTGGGTCCGGGACGCGAACCGTGGTCGAATATGTGGGAGTCCAGCGACATAGCCATTCATTAACTGCTGGTTCCCAGACCCCTTAATCTTAAACTTCCTGGTCTCCAAAACTGAGCCAATAAATTTTTATTTACTATATATCTCTAGTTTATGATATTCTGTCAGAGCAATGCTAAATAGATTAAAATAAAGGTTGCAGCTCTTACTACTTTTTTTTTTAATCATCAGGGCCTCACACAGAATATTTATATATTGAGACCAGCAGTTGATGTAATGGCTATGTCCCTGGATTCCCATGTAGTTGACCGCAGTTCAAATCCCAGACCTGGTGGCTTACACTCACGCCAGGTGCATGTGTGTGTATGCCCAATATCCCGAGAGGAGAATGGAGGAGAAGAAACTGTGACATGGCCATGCCCCCTGGGGAGTGATTTTGCTTTCTGTCTCTCTGTCTTTCTGGCAAGTGCACATGACCTATAGTAAAAACCTCTCAAAAAAAGATCTATAGCCAAAAACCCCCCAAAAAAAAAAAAAAAAAGAAAGAATATTGTATGTATTAAATGTTCTGCACACTCTTATTGAATGATTAGCCACTATAGTGAGGCACTGGTAAGCATGGTATCTTTCTGCATAGGAATTTCAAAATACTTTCTTTTATATAAAATGTGAAAGAATTCTAGCCCTGAAAGCATACTGAATTGAATTTTATAGTTAAAATCAAACAAAAATTTTAAGATTTAGACTAGTTAAAATCAAATCAAATTTTTAAGGTTTAGAACGTAACTTTTTTTAAAAAAAATTAGAAAAATCTATCTTCTCTAGAAATCCCAAATGATTACTCTTGACTTATGTAGATTTAGATCTGTAGGCTTGTCCGAGATTTCATTTCTAACTTAGTAATGCGATATTTAAAAACGTCAAGCTTTTAAAAGTTATGTGAGTTTCTTCTTCTGTGAAATAAAGTAAGAAAGTTGAAGAGAGAGAGTTTGATAAACACAGCCTGAAAAAGACAATGTCTGGAGTTTTCCTTGGAATAAATGTTCCTTGGATTGCATCTTTGGCTTTTGACTCAGGCTAAGGCTTGAAATGGAGCAGGGAAAAATAATCAACAAGACATAGCAGACAGTTCTTTGGATGTTTTTACAATGATTTATTGCAGAGTTATACTTTGTGATCATTTCACTCTACTCCCAGTAATTTCACGTCTAACTTGAGAAGTCAGTAGTGCAATGATTTATTGCAGAGTTATAGTTCGTGATCATTTCACTCTACTCCCAATAATTTCACGTCTAACTTGAGAAGTCAGTAGTCTCCGGCAGGATTATAGAAAACTATCACTGGTGTTAAACATCCTGATCAGCAGTACACTTTTTATTCATTATATCTCTGTTTAAGCAGTGTTTCTTAACTATGTCAGTGGGTTTCAACTTTTAAGTTAGACAAGTCGTAACAAATAGCTGCGGATCTACACTGTCCAACAACATAGTAACAGTGACAACAGACCATTCCTTTTGTCATAAAATTTGAAACCTAAGTAACTTCACTTTGAGGAAGTGGTAAACTGGAGAAACTGTAACCTGTTACCTTTGGTACTTTCAATTCAAATGATAGAATTTGACAGAATAGTGGAGTAGTTAAGATCACAGGCTTTGGAAGAAGACAGCTCTCAGTTTCAGATTTTAGCTGGGCTTACACACTGCATGAATTTGGATGAATTGCTCAAGTTGTTTAGGCTTCTGTTTTCTTATAAGTAAAATTAAGAAAATAATACCTGTCTCATTGATGTTGAAAGGCTTGAATAAGATACTATACATAAAATACTTCATCGCATTTTAGGCATTAATTAGGGGTTCAGTAAATGGTAGCTCTTACTATCATTATTCATAATGTACATTTTAGAGATATTTGTCTCCTGATCACTGTTTTTATTGATTAACTCAAAGCTGTGCAATTTTGAAGTAACTGGTAAAATAATTTCTTCATGGCTTTAATTTTTTTTCTATATTTTCCTTAGTATCATATTATGATTCCAGGACTGGTGAACAATCAGGCTTGGATCATGCATTCAGACTTTCTGGGTAATAACATGATGACGGCTTCTGCTTAAAGGGAACTATTTGGGCCATGTTACAGTTGTGGTAAAGCAAGACATTTCACAGAAGCATTTAAGGACTGCACCAAAACATTAGCTAATGTAACCGTATGAGTATTTTTAAAAAATCCCATTTGAAGAGGCTATTAAAAATTGGGGATGCTTTATTATAAAATATCAGGTCAGATTGGATTGGTACTTAATTAACACCGTACTTCACATCCTTGTATGAAACTTACTTTCATCGCCTGTTTCAAATTCAAATTTCTGACTGTAGCCACTGTATCCTGTTGCAGTCCTCACTCGGATGTGAAATACATACTTGGTGGCCGGCTTGAGCCCCGTGATGATGACACTGGGGGCCTTGGACCTCGTGGAGGAGTAGGTGAGTTGTTCATGGTCCTGGGGGACAGAAAAGAGGAGAGAAGAAATAAAGCAGAGTTACCCTACCCTATCCTGGAAACTTTTAAAGTGAAACTGGGGAATTATGGTCAGAATATCAAAAGTATTGATTCTAAAGAAGAGTAAGCACAGCTTTCCATAATTTAGCATGTAGTTGTTTATCAGAGACATGTAATATGGCTTTGATTTGGAAATTATTAAGGAAGATGGTTAATCTTATGTAAACCGCACGTGTAATTTTGGCTATTCAGGCTTCTAGTCCAACTCTCAGGAATGGTGGGGATGCGGGAGCATGTGTGCACTGAAGGGCAGCTGCATCTTGAGCAAAATGAGCAAATCAGATCAGTCCACAGCAGCAGAGTGCAAGGAGCCAAAGGGGGAGAATGCAAGTACCCGCTACTCACTTCTACCCGCAGGTAGTGCCAAAATGCCGGCGCTATCCGGGGGTAGACCTGTGGGTGAAAGGAAACATACATTAATTGTTTTTTAAAATGTGAAATCTTTTATCCCCAAATCTGTTGACTTTTAACTCAGTGATTCCCCAGCAATAAAACTTCATGTCAAGTCCACTTTAAGGAAAAAAAAAAAAAAAGATGCAACTTCTCCCTTGAAGGAGAATGAACTCTTCCCCTAGATACTATAGTTCATTTAACTAGAGTTAAATTTAACATGTAGAAGTTACATAGTGGTTATGGGGTTGATTGAAAAATAACCTGCCCATGAAGGAACCCTGAAGACACAGAGAGGTATGAAAAACTTACCGCACCTGCAAGAATCAGAGGTGGGGTTTACCGTAAGAACAGTCCAACGACCTCACCTCACTAAAAGGCAGTGCCTTCCCAGCGCGTTCTGACCTCAGTGAGGCGCTCTTCGGCAGGCTCACTTGCCCACTACCTCAGGACAGGATGATTTATTTTCTCTGTCCGTGTGAGGGACTGTCCACAGTATATTGGTGCTAGAGATAAACTGAACTTTTGTACCGGGATGTTACCCCAATAACTTTGCAATGATTTGTTAATACATACCTGGAAGAACATGTAGTTGCATCAATAACTCTTCTAAATTCACACATCAAACTAGATCAACAGGTCCTTTAGTTAGTCCCCACTAGTCTCATCATAAATCAAAAGACAGAGATTCTTGGGGATCGAAATGACTTTCAAGTCACTAATTGAATCACTCATTTGATGCTTAAATTCCATCTACAATATTCCCATAAAGATTTTCTTTAACATGTGCTTGAAAACTTCTGTTCAGGAGACCTTCCAGACTAACAAACCAAATTATAAAAATCTACACCTCTGGGGAATGTGCCAAAATTCATTTATTTGCTGATGATTCTTTAAGATTTAGAACTATGAGGACCAGCAGTTAGCGTAATGGCTATGTTGCTGGACTCCCATGTAGTCAACCCCAGTTCGAGTCCCAGACCCAGTGGCTTAAACTTACGCTGGGTGCGTGTGCGTGCGTGCCCAAGATCCCTAGAGGAGAATGGAAGAGAAGGGATTGTGGCATGGCCATCCCCCCTGGGGGGTGATTTCTCGCTTTTTGTCCTTCTGTCTCTCTCTGTCTGTCTGGCGAGTGCACACACCCTGTAGCAAAAACCTCTCCATAAAAAAAAAAAAAAAAAAAAAAAGATTTAGAACTATGAAAATCATTTCCCTTCGGCTACTTTCTGGATAAAAAAAAAGTTCTTATTTTAAGAATGATTTTTAAACTATATAGCTTTACTTGTCAGAACTCTATTTGCAGCATGGTTATCATGTGTCTAGCTGAGGAATTGAATTTGCCATCTGCTCTCCAGATAACAAAAGCACTTAATAAACATGAAGTACAGAGGAACCAAAACAAAACAAAAATGAGTTAACAACAGCAATATGATAAGAAAAAAAAAGACAAAATAGAAAAATCGCAACTGACACTGATCTCTAGGTAATTTTGAGATTAGAAAGTAAATAAATATTTATCTGCCTACTATAAAATCCAAGAACACAAACTCTGTTTTCATTGGTCGCTATCGCCATCTACTATGGGTTGACAGCACGAGTGTGCTTATATCAAGGTCTTTATAATTAGGGGGTTTAAAGCCCATATTATGGAGGAAACATGTTTTTGGCAATTAAAATAATTTTTTTGCTCTTGGTAAAAATTTTCAGAGAATTTGGGTTTTTCAATCTCATATGCAAAAGGGGCCTATTCTGCCTTTCACAGAATTGTGTATAACGTGCTTCATTTTGACTGATGTTTTATCATGTGAAATGATGACTGAGGGAACTTTAAAGCAATGTAAAAAAAAAATTGAGTCTTATTTCTAAAACGAGAAGATGTGGATTCAAAAGTATTCTCTTAAAATGGTCCTATAAAAATTACATATTATGCTTTCGCTGCTTTACCCAAACATACCTACATAATTTTCTACTCAGTAAAGTTACAAGATGTAAGGAATCTCTTTTACAGGCAGTTTTTAGTATTTCTGTTGCTATATACAAAAGTGTATCTGTATCTACATCCCTGAAATAAAAATCCTCACATAGGAAGGGGATAAGTGTTTGTAAACCAGCATTTACACTCAGCCCCAGCATGGTGGCTGTTATGTCTTGACACTTGCTAGGATGCCGAGGGAGGGGGCTGAGACAGAAGCAGACTCGCGAGCTGCTCTCACAGTACATAGCGGCCCTTTCTCCTGGGAATCTTAAGATCTTGGAAAACCAACTCAGCTTTTATCCATGACAAGTATAGGGTGGTAGTGTCTTAGACTTTGGCTAATTGCTTTCCTGTTGACATATAAACTCCGATTCAAAGTAACTGTCAGGAGGTAGAGACCATGCTTTGCCACAGAGCCACCTGGATCTCTTTAGTCATCCTGGCAGGCTGAATTCTGAACATATTTTAAAAGAGGATGTACTATTTATTTATTTATTTATTGAAGAGAAGGCATCTTTACTCAACCATCTTGCCAAAGTCTATAATTATTTTTATGTCAGAAATGCAGGTTCCTTCTCTTCTGCAATAAATAATTTCATCACTCCCCATTTCCCTCTCTTAAATTTATTTATCATTACCACTTATGGGTGTATATTCAATAAGCCAGTATGGTAGTCATCTTTTATCCTGTCTTCATTTTTAAAGTCTTTGGGTCTAATGAGCTTTCTAAAAAATGCCATCTCTTAGTTTTATTTTTAAATTTTAAATTAGTTGAATTATATATATGACCAAATATTATGTTGTTGACTTTTTCTACAGACTTACAGAACTAGAGATATATCAGCAATCATAACAACCATGATTCATATAGTGCTTTACAATGCACAGGGTGTCTTCACAGATGTCCTTTATGTAATACACATAATAAACTTGTGAAGGAAGAAGAACTGGTAATATTTGCATTACCATTTGTACATGATGAAACTAGTTCCTGAAGAATAATAGAACTACCATAGCCCATCACACAACCAGTCAGTGGCTTCCTTCCAAGTTATGCTTTTCAACTCTACTCTATTCAAGAACATGTCCATGGTAAATGTCTACAGACTAGATTTGAGGCTAGTTAATTTTCCCCACATTCTCTGTTCTTGATCGTCTAGATACTGGAAGTAACTCTCATTTTAAAATAGCCTGTGTAACAGGTAGTAGATTTGTTTGCTAAGAATTAATTATATTAATAGTTCTTGATTGGCAAACACAATTCTCAATACCAAAGGCTTTAAACTAATAAATCAAAAATAAAATTAGTTTTTACTAACATCTTGTATCCTGCCTATATTTTTATTTTCTTTTGATATTGTGTCATATAGATCATTTCTAGGTAATATAGGAGGCTTATAATTCACTCAGTCTTGTATGGAACATACAATATTCTGTGTGTCACGATTTTTCCAACAGCCCAGTATTTAGGACTTCACTACACAAATGTTATTTTTCTTAGCAATAAACTATTTAAGACAATGATAAAATTCTTGTTCTGCTGGTTAGAAGTCCGCATCTCTAGAATGATTGGAAATAAAATTTTATTAAAAGTGGATATTAACAGCTATGCTAGGAGTCATTTAAGTCATTTATTTTTATTTATTTATTTATTTAATTTCCATGATTTCACTTTTCTTTTTTTTAATTTCTATTTATTTTTTATTTCATTTTCTTTTATTCATTCAATCACGTTATTTACCTTACAAAGTGAATATTTCAACAGGTGAACATTTCTCTTTAGTCCAGTTGATAAAGCTATAAAATATCTTCAACAGATAATACCACATTTCTCTATCCCATTAAAGCTTTGCCTCTCTATTTTTCTTCTAAATGTCCTTCCTCAGACCCTCCTTTTTCACACACACTATATCTGGTATTTACAACTATATACTGTGTTTCTATATCCTTTAGTCAATCAGTTTCAGTCATAGAGTGCGGACACTCGGTATGTATTAAGTGGGGACATACAATGTCTCTCCTTCATAGCCTGGCTTGCTTCACTCAGCAGTAAATCTTCCATATTCTTCCACTTTCTGTCAAAAGCCAGGGTTTTGTTGTTTTTATGGCTGAATAGTATTCCATAGAATATATGTGCCACAGTTTTTCTATAAATTCATCTGTTCATGGGCATTTGGGTTAGTTCCATGACTTAGCAATTGTGAATAGTGCCACAATAAACATTGATGTGGAAGCACTTCATTTAAGTCATTTTTAAAACATGTATTAATTCATTGATTTTCATTTGAGAGAGAGAGAGAAACAGGTACCCTCAAGAAGGTCTTCACATTGTGGTCTCCACCCAGCCCTGTACCCAACCCAGATCATGAGTGGCCAAGGGTCATGCCCAGTGTGTCAAAACAGCCCCAGGATGTGAACCTGGGGCCTACCTTTATGGTCTCCAGCACTGCACAGCAGCTCTCTACCTGTCTGCACCATTTACAACTCAGCCTAAGTCATTTCTGATCTTTTTGCTCTCCCTCTTTCTGTATCTTTCTCATCCTGCCTTGTGCGCACACACACACACACACACACACACACACACACACACACAGAGTCATCAAACCATATAAGACAGAAGGCTGAGATAAGCAGATGGTGTAATGGTTACATTGCCGGACTTCCAAGTAGTCAACCATGGTCTAAGTTTCAGACCTAGTGGCTTAAAGCTCACACCCAGCATGTGTGCATGTGTACCCAAAATTCCAAGAGAAGACTGGAAGAGAAGGGATTGTGGCATGGCTGTCCCCCCAGGGAGTGATTTCTTGCTTTCTATCACTTCATCTCAGTTTATCTCTCGGGTGAGCACATGTACCTTATAGTAAAAAAAAAAAATATACTCATTAATACTACAATTAGAACATGATTTAGTGTCTGCAGAAGGACAGTATTCCTGAATAAATTAAGAACTCCCTGTCCCTGGCCTGGGTAGAGTGACATCTTGCTGGTGCTGCTCATCTCATATCAGTCAGGGACAAAACAACCCCTTGTTTATCCCAGCTTGGCTTTTGGTCAGGGCCCTTGCCTGGTTTTTGACTTGGACATATGAAAGGCAAAAAAGAAGAAGATGAACTGCAGAACCTAGAAGCACAAAATTTGAAAGGTTATCAAAGAAATGTGTTTTTTTAAATTACAATGTTAGCTAACTTAAAAACATTTTACTCGAAGATAAGAAAGATACTGCACATGACGATAGGAAAGAAAAGAACTAGATTTGGTGTTTAATAATTACCTTTCAAAGTCAAGAGACACTGGACCTGGTGGACTTCACTGATCACTACAAAAATTACATTGTCCTAGAGACAGTAACACATCTTGTACAAAAATTCCTTAAGATTTATCATCTCTCTACTTTGATGCTGCAATCTTCTAATTACTCAAGTGAAATCTCAAGTGTTTCTAGAAACAAACATAGATATATTTGTTCCTGGAAAAGATAAGCTTCTCTAAAATTAATACATGGATATTTTGGTTGAGTTTTCAGTCTCTTTTTGGATTTAATTAGAATGAATCAATCCCTGAATTATCAACTCTGAGTGCACTCCAGCCCAAGATTTACAAAACAGAGTATCAGAATGAATTGTGTGAGCCCAAAAACTGAAGCTACAGCACTTTTGTAAAATAGGCATAATCATAATAAAGGATCTTATATTCCTAAAATGTCATCCTTTCCATTCTTGTATCAGCTATTTTCATGAGGCCTTTCTAAGTGTTAATCTGCTCCTTTTTAGAAGCTCTTTGGAGAGAGATTTCTATTTTACCCAAACCAAGTTATAAATTATATAGAAAAGGCTCTTTCTAAAACCTAATTTAATTATTTTGTGGAATTTTAAAACATATTTTATTATGTAGAAACTCTCTCCTAAAGATTGAACTTGCAATACACCTTCATTTTCACTCTGTTAATTAGGACTGTTTACTTAGAAATTTCTAGAGAATTAACTGAACAAAGCTTAGAACTGATTAAGATACTTCAGTTAGTAGCCAACAAACTATTATTGGTGGTTTTCCTATGCAGTAGCGATGACGATCAAAGTTATATTTTAAAATATCCTATTCACCATAGCAACAGAAAACTTATAATACCTAAGTATATGACAAAAATAATGTGCAAAATTTATATGATTAAATTTATAACATTGTACTGTAAGAGAAAAAAACTCTTACTTTTCTTGTCTTATTATAATGCTAAAATGTTTAGTAGAATATGGCCAAGTGGCAGTGAAAACAAGAATATTACTTTGCTTTTGTCTTTGATGGAACAGTTTGGTCACTGCTAAATATGATTACGTCTTATTTTATATACTGGGTATATATATATGTATACATACATATATAATAATGTACATTATTTATAAATTAAATTCTTTCTATATAATATACATATATAATGTCAAATAGGATATATGTATATTATTCATGTAATTTATTTCTATATACTATAGATATGGAATTACATCTTATATTATTATATAATTAAATTATTTACATATATACATAGTAAATATTGGATTGTTGGAAAAGTCATAGTTTTGCATTAAAAAACAGAAAAAATGACTTTGGTGATGCCTCTACAGTAATCCTCTCAAAAATATACTCATTAATACTACAATTAGAACATGATTTAGTGTCTGCAGAAGGACAGTATTCCTGAATAAATTAAGAACTCCCTGTCCCTGGCCTGGGTAGAGTGACATCTTGCTGGTGCTGCTCATCTCATATCAGTCAGGGACAAAACAACCCCTTGTTTATCCCAGCTTGGCTTTTGGTCAGGGCCCTTGCCTGGTTTTTGACTTGGACATATGAAAGGCAAAAAAGAAGAAGATGAACTGCAGAACCTAGAAGCACAAAATTTGAAAGGTTATCAAAGAAATGTGTTTTTTTAAATTACAATGTTAGCTAACTTAAAAACATTTTACTCGAAGATAAGAAAGATACTGCACATGACGATAGGAAAGAAAAGAACTAGATTTGGTGTTTAATAATTACCTTTCAAAGTCAAGAGACACTGGACCTGGTGGACTTCACTGATCACTACAAAAATTACATTGTCCTAGAGACAGTAACACATCTTGTACAAAAATTCCTTAAGATTTATCATCTCTCTACTTTGATGCTGCAATCTTCTAATTACTCAAGTGAAATCTCAAGTGTTTCTAGAAACAAACATAGATATATTTGTTCCTGGAAAAGATAAGCTTCTCTAAAATTAATACATGGATATTTTGGTTGAGTTTTCAGTCTCTTTTTGGATTTAATTAGAATGAATCAATCCCTGAATTATCAACTCTGAGTGCACTCCAGCCCAAGATTTACAAAACAGAGTATCAGAATGAATTGTGTGAGCCCAAAAACTGAAGCTACAGCACTTTTGTAAAATAGGCATAATCATAATAAAGGATCTTATATTCCTAAAATGTCATCCTTTCCATTCTTGTATCAGCTATTTTCATGAGGCCTTTCTAAGTGTTAATCTGCTCCTTTTTAGAAGCTCTTTGGAGAGAGATTTCTATTTTACCCAAACCAAGTTATAAATTATATAGAAAAGGCTCTTTCTAAAACCTAATTTAATTATTTTGTGGAATTTTAAAACATATTTTATTATGTAGAAACTCTCTCCTAAAGATTGAACTTGCAATACACCTTCATTTTCACTCTGTTAATTAGGACTGTTTACTTAGAAATTTCTAGAGAATTAACTGAACAAAGCTTAGAACTGATTAAGATACTTCAGTTAGTAGCCAACAAACTATTATTGGTGGTTTTCCTATGCAGTAGCGATGACGATCAAAGTTATATTTTAAAATATCCTATTCACCATAGCAACAGAAAACTTATAATACCTAAGTATATGACAAAAATAAAGTGCAAAATTTATATGATTAAATTTATAACATTGTACTGTAAGAGAAAAAAACTCTTACTTTTCTTGTCTTATTATAATGCTAAAATGTTTAGTAGAATATGGCCAAGTGGCAGTGAAAACAAGAATATTACTTTGCTTTTGTCTTTGATGGAACAGTTTGGTCACTGCTAAATATGATTACGTCTTATTTTATATACTGGGTATATATATATGTATACATACATATATAATAATGTACATTATTTATAAATTAAATTCTTTCTATATAATATACATATATAATGTCAAATAGGATATATATATATTATTCATGTAATTTATTTCTATATACTATAGATATGTAAGTACATCTTATATTATTATATAATTAAATTATTTACATATATACATAGTAAATATTGGATTGTTGGAAAAGTCATAGTTTTGCATTCAAAAACAGAAAAAATATATCATGACTTTTCCAATAACCCAATATTTTATATGTTAAATTAAATTATTTACTTGATCATTCTTGTAAAAAACTGGCTTTTGCTTTATTGTCAATCAAATATACTTGATCCTATTTCATTATTTATTTTACACATTTAATTTTATTTACTTTGGTTTTCTGTGTGATTATATCCTACTGCTTTGACTATATGTGTATCTCAATGTTTTTTTGTTTTTAAAAGTTTGAGTTTAGGGAACCAGCAGTTAGCATAATGGCTATGTCACTGAACTCCCATGTAGTCGACTGCGGTTCGCGTCCCGGACCCGGTGGCTTAAACTCACGCCGGGCGCATGTGCGTGCGTGCCCAAGATCCCGAGAGGAGAATGGAGGAGAAGGGATTGCGGCGTGACCATCCCCCCTGGGGGGTGATTTCTCGCTTTCTGTCTCTATGTCTTTCTCTGTCTGTTTGGCGAGCACACGTGCCCTATAGCGAAAATCTCTCCAAAAAAAAAAAAAAGTTTGAGTTTAAACCTATTCTGTTTTATACATGATTTAAAATAACATAAATTTGTCAAATAAGTAGATTTTAGGGTGAGATAGAAGATGCTTGTTTTTAGAGTTTTGTGATAAGATGATGTGTTCACTAGAGAGAGAAAGAAAACAGAGAGAGAGTGGGAAAGTGAGAAATCACCCTTTTAAGAGGGAATGGCAATGCTGTGATCCCCTCTCCTCCATTTCTCCTCTTGGGATTTTGGCCAAGTACGGCAAATGAGACTGGCACTTTTTTTCAAGCCCCCAGGTCCAGGACTCAAACTGAGGAGTCCACCAAGTGGGATTCAGCACCTGAAGTACCACACCAGCTGCTGGCCCCTATTAAAATTCTCTGAGGCTGACAGGTGACCTGGAAATTAAAGCACTGGACTCCCACATGACCAATCACTGTTCAAGTCCTGGACCTGGTGGCTTGCTTTTTCCCTTTTCTTCTCTCTTTCTTTTTATGTGCTTGAAAATGAGTAAACTTTTAGAATTTTAGGATCTATATGTTATATCCATTGAGGAAATAAAACTCTTTGCAAAATCTTCCATCAGTCAGTGTTTGTGAGATGTTTTACAAGAGTCTGGTATGACTGCATATTTCTCAATTTTGCCTTACATTTATTTCAGACTAAAATTGTCCAAAGTTGGATAAGACTGTCATTTTTATATTATAAAGATATTATACATAAGAAAATCTAGACATATTAAGTAAATTAATCTCTGTATTCTTTGACTCTCACCGCTATTTAGCACTTAATTATCTACCACCTAGTCTCTTCCTCCAGTTATTTTTAGGTGTCAGTATATATCCCAAGTATATATATATATATCCCAAGTACACTGTAATTTCCTCAAAAGTGTAGTCTATATTTTTCTAAAAAAAAAAAAAAAATTAAATAAATAAATAAACAAAAGAAGAGAACAAGACAGAACTGGACACATAGTCAGTGTTAGTAAATGTCTCGCCATTGATCTCCACAGAGGAACACTGGAACCATCTACCGTAAGTGTATCTGACGCAGACCTTGCAGACCTGGCCACTTATTACTATGAGCTGGACTTCAAAACTGCCGCCGCTACGTAGCACACACTAGGGTGACAAAGTGTATGGAACTACACCCTAGCAGCAGGGAGAGAGAGACTGGCCAATTGTGCCAGAGTTAAGAATAATAATTATTTCTTTTCCTAGGTGATTGAATCCATTTAGAGGAACTAT